AAAAAAAAAAAAAAAAAAAAAAATCAAGCAGAAATTCTAGAGCTGAAAAATGCAACTGACATGCTGAAGAATACATCAGAGTCTTTTAATAGCAGAATTGACCAAACAGAAAAAAGTATTAGTGAGCTTGGAGACAGGCTATTTGAAAATAGACATTCAGAGAAGACAAAAGAAAAAAAATAAAAAACAATGAAGCACATCTGTAAGATCAGAAAATAGCCTCAAAAGTACAAATCTAAGAGTTACTGGCCTTACAGGGGAGATAGAGACAGAAGTAGAAAGTTTATTCAAAGGGATAATAACAGAAAACTGCCCAAGCCTAGAGAAAGGTATCAACATTCAAGTAGAAGAAAGTCATAGAACACCAAGCAGATTTAACCAAAGGAAGACTACCTCTAGGCATTTAATAATCAAACTCCTAAAGATCAAGAATAAAGAAAGGATCCTAAAAGCATCAAGAGGAAAGAAACAAATAACATACAATAGAGCTCCACTATGTCTGGCGGCAGACTTTTCAGTGGAAACCTTACAGGCCAGGAGAGAGTGGCAGGACATATTTAAAGTGCTAACATGGCCAGACATGGTGGCTCACGCCTGTAATCTGAGGATTTGGAGAGACTGAAGCAGGTGGATCACTTGAGGTCAGGAGTTCAAGACCAGCCTGGCCAATGTGGAGAAACTCCATCACTATTAAAAATACAAAAATTAGCTGGGTATGGTGGTGCACAGCTGTAATCCCAGCTACTCGGGAGGCTGAGGCACAAGAATCACTGGAACCTGGGAGGCAGAGGTTGCAGTCAGCTGAGATTATGCCACTGCACTCCAGCCTGGGTGACAGAGTGAGACTCTGTCTCTAAAATAAAATACAAAAGAAAAGAAAAGAAAGTACTGACTGAACCTTTTATCCTAGAATAGTATTATCCAGAAAAAAAAAAAATCCTTCAAGCATGAAGGAGAAACAAAGACCGTCCCAGACAAACAAAAGCTGAGGGATTTCATCAACACCAAACCTATCCTATATGAAATGCTAAAGGGAGTTCTTTAATCTGAAAGAAAGGGATGTTAATGAGCAAGAAGAAATAATCTCAAAATACAAAACTCACTGGTAATAGTAAGCACACAGAAAAGCACAGAATAATATAACACTGCAACGGTGGTGTGTAAACTACTCTTATCTTAAATAGAAAGACTAAATGATGAACCAATCAAAAATAATTACAACAACTTTTCAAAAAATAGTACAGTAAGACACAAAGAGGAACAACAACAAGTTAAAAAAGCAGGGAGACAAAGTTAAAGTGTAAAGTTTTCACTAGTTTTCTTTTTGTGTGTTTGTATATGCAATCAGTCTTAAGTTGTCATCAGTTAAAAATAATGGGTTACAAGATAGCATTTACAAGCCTCATGGTAACCACAAATCAAAAAACTAACAACAGACTTACAAAAAATAAAAAGAAAGAAAGCAGGCCAGGCGCGGTGGCTCACACTCCCAGTGCACACAGAAACCAATACTATGGCATTAGATTTTTGAGAGAAGAAAAGCCTTATTACAAATCAACCAACAAGCTGGGCGCAATGGCTCACACCTGTAATCCCACACTTTGGGCGGCCAAAGTGGGTGGATCACCTGAGGTCAGGAGTTTGAGACCAGCCTGACCAATATGGTGAAACCCTGTCTCTACTAAAAATACAAAAATCAGCTGGGTGGGGTGGCATATGCCTGTAGTCACAGCTACTCAAGAGGCTGAGACAGGAGAACTGCTTGAACCCGGGAGGCAGAGGCCACTGCACTCTGACCTGGGCGATAAAGCAAGACTCTGTCTCAAAAAAAGAAAAAAAAAAAAAAAACTACAATGAGACATCATCTCATCCCAGTTAAAATGGCTTATATCCAAAAGTCAGGCAATAACAAATGCTGGCAAGGATGTAGAGAAAAGGGAATGCTTGTACTCTGTTGGTGGGAATGTAAACGGGTACAACTACTATGGAGAACAGTTTGGGGGAGTCTCAAAAAACTAAAAACAGACCTACCACATAATCCAGCAATCCCACTGTTGCATACATACTCAAAAGAAAGGAAATCAGTATATTGAAGAGATATCTGCACTCCCATGTTTGTTGCAGCACTGTTTACATTGGTCAAGATTTGGAAGCAACCTAAGTGTCCACCGACAGATGAATGGATAAAGAAAATGTATTCACACACAATGGAGTGTGTGTGAATTTGACCAATATTCACCCATAAAAAAGAATAAGATCCTGTTATTAGCAACAATATGGATGGAACTGGAGGTTATCGTGCTAAGTGAAATAAACCATGCACAGAAAGACAAATATCACATGTTATCACTTATTTGTGGGATCTAAAAATCAAAACAATTGAACTCATGGAGATGGAGAGCAGAAGGATGGTTACCAGAGGCTGGGAACTATATTGGGAGGGTAAAGGGTAAGTAGGGATGGGGCTAATGGGGACAAAAAAATAGCAAGAATGAGTAAGACCTCATATATGATAGCACAACGAGGAGACTATGGTCAGTAATACTTTAACGTACATTTTAAAATAACTAAAAGGGTATAACTGGATTCTTTGTAACATGAAGAATAAATCATTGAGGGGATGGATACCTCATTTTACATTATGTGATTATTATGAATTGCATGCCTGTATCAAAACATCTCATGGACCTCATAAATATATACACCTACTATGTACCTACAAACACTAAAATTAAAAAAAAAAGATATCAAGACTCCTATTCCTATACTAAGCAGAAATCTGCTGTCATTGGAAGACAGACAGGAAACTGCCATCCAAGAACAACCACAGATACAAGGTCAAGTTTGGCTGCCACAAGGATAAGGAAAAGGAACCACAGGAAAGTCCTGCTCCTGAGGCCTAAGCACACAGAGCTTGCCTAAAACTGAAGCTCCATGAGAAAAACATAGGATATTCCTCTGCCTCCACCAGGAGCCTTGCAATAAGCAACATGCAACAGCGGTGTACTCCCGTGGGAGAGGCAAGAGCATGGGGAGAACACCCCTCCACTTCTATGATGCCAGCTTGCATGGATAGCTGAAAACTGAGGAAGGAGCAGAAACACTTGAGAAAATCCCTCTGGCACCCCACCGCCACTCTAAGCATAAGGAAAAGCAGCCCGGCCACTAGAGGTATTCAAGCCTGTGGTGCACTAAAGGTAACAATAGCAATAACAATACCCAAATCCAACTCAACTCCAACTAGATAAGGCTAATCCTCCATACTAATGCTTGACAGAAGAAAAGGCATATCCATTTCTAGACATAAATACTCCATGTACACTGTTCTTCTACATCAAATATCTGGCACTCAATAAAAAATTACAAGACATGCACAAAAAGCAAGTGAAAACAACCCACTGTCAAGAGATAAAGCAATCAAGAGAACTAGATTCATAATGTTGGAATTACCAGATAGGGAGTTTTAAATAATTAATATGGTAAAGAATCTAGTGGAAAAGGTGGACAATATGCATGAACAGATGAAGAATTTCAGAATAAATAAAAACTGTCTAAAAATTGAAATGGTAATGCTAGAAATCTGAAAATCATGATATCAAAGATGAAGAGTTCCTCTGAAGGGCTCTTCAGCAGACAGGACACAGCTAAGGAAGAACAGTGAACTCAAAAACAAGTCAGAAATCATCCAACTGAAAAACAAATAAGGAAAAAAAGAGTGGAAAAACAGAACAGAGTAAGAGCTATGGCACTGTGAGACATCATCAAGTGATCTAATATACATATAATTGAAGTCTCAGAAGGAAGAAAAAAAGCAGAGAGAATGGGAAATAAGAAATATTTGAAGTGATAATGGTCTAGAATTTCCCCAAAATAATAAAAGATATAAAACCACACATACGAGAACCTCAGAGAACATTAAGATAGAAAGAAAAAATATATATAGACAGATCATAATCTAGCTAAGGAAAACCAAAGAGAAAGAGAAAATCTTGAAAGTACCCAAGAAAAAAGAAACATCACATATGGAGAAATGAAGATAAGAATTATAGATTTTTTTAAAAATGAAAATTTTAAAAAATCATAACTATGAAAAATTTTATAAGTCTCAAGAATTTTCAAAGTCCAAAAGGTTCTATAATTTCTAGTATATTAACCATTACCTTCTCCTTTTACAAAATTCACTTTCTATGTATCGTGTAGGCAGTTTCAGCCACTCATTTGGAGTCATAAAGTGCCTTGAATTAGAAATTTGTGGGAATCTGGAATGCAGCTGAGCCTTCTCAACTTCTTTGAATTCTTTTATTGAATATATTTTGCCTGCAGGAAGAATAAAAATCTAAATTAACATCCTTACATGCAACTGCCATTGCTCTTGGGCTATGAAATCATATAACAATCAGGAACTAAGTACCAGTCTCACACTGAAGAAGAGTTCTTTTTTCATTATCCTTGTCATATTGTGCTTTTTTCAAAGGGTCACGAAATGGTGGGATGGTAACCTACAAGAGAGGCACTTGTGTAAGGTCTGAGTTGCAAGGCTGAGTAGTAAACATTTTCAGTCTATTCGAAGCATCCACATACGGATGGCTCTTACGCTGGAAGGGTAAATAATATGGTATTTACAAATAGCTGGCTTACCATTATATTTGTTTAATATATTACAAAGAGATGGGGGTATATCAATACCTCTCTTAAGGCCCTCCAGTCAAAGAGACAAAGTTAGCTCTTGTTTCAGTGTGGGTTCAATCTTCAAAAATTATGTTGTTGTTATCATATGTTCCCAAATTTAAAAAATTCCTTTCCCATGCACAAAAGAAAAAATATATCCATATATTCATCTTAATCCCTAACATTGATAATCAACAACATAACTAACATTACTGAAAACTTAACCAAGTTATTCAAAATATAGATCATTTGTGAGCCAAAGTATGGAAGCACTAAATCTATGTTAATGGCCATAATTATCAATATCAAAATGACAGTTCTACATATGAAAACAGGATTCACGAACAACAACATTCATCATTTAGGCCTAGTCAGGGAAATTCTACCACAAGCTTACAAGGTCACTCATGTATTTTTCTCATGCTCATCAGGCTAGTTTTTCGGGGGTAGTTATAATACACATCATGACTATTAGAGTTAAAATAAACGGTGATCAGACTGCCCAGTATAAGTTTGCTTCTACAGAAGTTATGAAGAGTGCTACTCATAAAATATTAAGAAAATATTAACTTGCTGTAAAAAGGAACAAAAAAAAGGTGCTATCATTTTCAGGTATTTGTATGTGACGTATTCACATATGAAGAGCAAATCAAATTTTAAATGACACTGGACTCTGCTGCTGGAGAGTCACTGTGCTGCTCTGGAGGTGTCAGAGCCTTGCTTTTTGATGTTTCTTGTGTCCTTACATTGACATCTGTGCATCTGGGGTAATGGAGGCTTCTTCCTGCTTTTTGGATTTGCGTCCACAGGGAAGGACTTTTTCCTGGAGATGTGTCTATGGTGTTGGATGGGTAGGACACTTTGGCCTTGATCCTGGGTACGTGTAGCAGTCTCGTCTCCATGATTTCTTTGGGTGCAAACAGCATCAGTGGTGTCTGTGTTTTCCTCGGTGGCTTAGGGTACAGTTATTGGAGGATGTGGTAAGGCTTTGCTGGGGATGGGGACATTAGGCAGGCCAGTCCCCAGCCTCAGTGGAAGCAGTGGCAGGCTGAGGGTGCCTGTCCTTGGTCTTCAGAGCAGTATACACTGGTACTGGTGTTACAGGTTCAGGTGGGCCAGTTCTTGGGTCTCCAGGTGGCTTGCTTGGGTGCATGCAGTGGCCGTGGTGGGCCAGGTGGATGAGCAGGTTCCTGAACCCCTGGGCAGCACTCATGGCATGGGCAATGGCAGTAGCAATGATGAGACAACCCTCTGTCTCCCAAGTGGTCTACATGGGTGTTGGCAGTGGCTGCAACAGGCTGGGTGGGCCAGTCTCCAGACCCGCAGTTGGCATGTGCAGGACGGTGCCAGCTGTGGTGGTAGCAGCAGGCTGGTGGGCTCTCGCCAATGGTGGTGGATGGGGCAGGGCGATCCCCCAGCCCCCTGCAGAGTACTTGGGTAGGGGTGCTGGTGGCTGTGCTGTGGCCCTGCTGCTGTGGAGGGTGGGGTTGCTTTCAGTGGCAGCTGGCATAGGCAGGCAGTTAGGGAGTGTATGTTTCAGCCTAGGTGATGCTGCAGGTGGGGCCTGTCCTCTGGGCACAAGAAAGTGAGCCGTGGCCCCCGTGCTGAAGTCAGCAAGGTTGCTGTCAGCTGCTCACACCTCAGCTCTCTCCATCTGCAGGCATCCCCCATGTTAGTCTCAGGGCCGAGCAGGCTGCCTCACCTCCCTCTCCTTCCTCACCTTAGATGTTTCCTTGTCACTTCTCTGTGGAATTCCAGTGTTCCTCTCAGATGACGTGTTCCAAGTACAATTTTCTACTCGCCATTTTGGCTCTTCTGTGGAGGAGGCGAGTGTCAGATGCCTCAAGCCAGTTATCTTGAAGCTCTCCGACAGGGTCTTGCTCTGTCGCCCAGGCTAGAGTGCAGTAGCTCACTGCAGCTTCGACCTCCTAGGCTCAGGCCATCCTCCCACCTCCACCTCCCAAGTAACTGGGACCACAGGTGTGCGCCACCATGTCCAGCTAATTTTTAAAATTTTTTGTAGAGACAGGATCTACCTATGTTGCCCAGGCTGGTCTTGAACTGCTGGGTTCAAGCCATGCTCCCACCTCAGCCTCTAAAGTGGTGGAAGTGGTGGTGGGATTACAGGCATGAGCCACCGTGCCTGGACCAAATTTGAAGTTTTAAATTGAAGATAGAAATAAAGAAAAATCTAAAGTTTTACCAACAATTATAAATCCAGAGACTCCTATCTCTATTGACAGCACTTGTACATCATAAATGGAGGTATTATAACCCAGTGGTTCTGAAACTTTTTTTTTTTTTGAGACAGAGTCTCACTCTGCTGTCAGGCTAGAGTGCAGTGGCGTGATCTTGGCTCACTGCAACCTCCACCTCCTGGGTTCAAGTGATTCTCCTGCCTCAGCCTCCCAAGTAGCTGGGATTATAGGCGTGAGCCACTGCGCCTGGCCGAAACTATTCTATTTCAAAACGTTGTTGTTATATCCAAATAACGTTTGTGTATATGGCTTAGATCTATTGAAATTTACTATATTAGAAAATAAAACAGGAAATTTTAAATTGCTTATTAATTTTAAAATAATAATATGCCTATTGTTTAACATCTTTCTAAAAAAATAACTCTATTTCCCAAAATAAAACAAAAAATGAGAAGAGTAACATTGTTTTGCATTTTTGTAAACTTCTTTATGTCTTGCTTAGTAGAAGACAAGCGGATTCTCATATCTGCTTCTGCAAGCAATCTGTTGAGATTTGTTTAGTTGTTGTATATGAAGAAAATCCATATAGAGATATGTAGTTGAAAAAGGTAGGAGTATTTTAACAGCCTTTTAAGATCATTGTGGATATTTGTTTTTGATACTACACCCAAACTCAGTAAGAGATAGTTTCTTAAAGGTTAGTTACGATGTGGAATTTGAAACCATATCCATGGATTTTTCATACTCTTCTACTAAGTCCATTAGTCTATTTTGCACTTCAAATGAATCTTTTTCCAACGCATAATTTTGTAACATTTGGGGGGAAATTGGATCATGGAGTTAGGCAAGATCTTCCAAATGTTTGTACATTTCATTACTTAATATCAAAGAGCCACATTCATTAATATCAATACCAATTTCATCAGTAAAGTCTTTTGAGTATTGGGACACTGTCACACTTCTGATGGTGAATATGAGTGTTCCAAAATTCCAAATGTTTTGCTTGAAAGCTCACCTTTTATCACTGGCAACAAATATTGCCAGTAGTTTTTCTCAAAGTGACAAGCTGACTTCATTCATTTTCCAGAAAATATCTGCCAAATACCCAAGACTTACTAACCATAGTTTGCAAGTCATTCTTTCAAGTAAACATGGTGTTTCACGAAAGAAATTTTAAAAAGCAGCCAGTTCAGCTCACAATTCAAGCAATCCTCCATATTTCAGTATGCAGCAGAAGTGCTCTTCACATACTCCTATTTCATCACAAAGAATATCTAAAAGATGCGTACTGAAGGAGCAAGACTTAGTACTAAGTTAATAATTTTTAAGTAGAGCTGCACAAAGCACATGCAAAGAAATGCTGAAGATCCATCTGAAGGGAAGGAATCAAGCCTCTATGTTCCTAAAGTCAGATCTGTCCCACTCCCAGGAAAGGAAGATAGACAGGGTCATTTGGGTTGGTCTGAAGTCAGGTGTTCTGGGCCATCTCAAGCCCTACTGTTGAAAGAAGAGGCAGGATGAACCTTTTCTGTACTGGGGAAATTGAAAGGGGGAAAGGAGATAATGTTGGGTATCTCCACTTGATAACCCAGAATTGAGAATAAGGACAAGCTTACAGACTCTGCAGCAGCTCAGAAGCAGGGTCTGGGAGGTGCCAGGTCCATAAAGAGTACAGAGCAGGACACCAGGAGCCCAGCCTGTGGAGCCTACCCGAGACACTCTCAGGTGGAGTCTCTGCCAGACATGGGTAAGGACCTGGATCTGAAGACATGGAACAGCAATGCTGGGTCTACAAATGGGGCCAGCACCTGAGCTACAGCATGTGACCATAAGGAATAACAACCATAGTACAACCTGGACCTGGGACCAGAGATGTGCCCCACCAAGAACTGGGAGGCTGCAGGACCATTTTGTAGGATGACACAAGCCCACAGCATGATGGTACAACTCAAGGTTGAATGTCTCCAAAAACAATTAATATTGGACTTCTCACTGATTTGCACACGTCAGGGCCAATACCAGTTCTAATAAAACCTCTCTAAAAAGGGTAAAAATCATCCCCTGAACACCATTTTAAAAAATGGTATCTAGGCCGGGCACGGTGGCTCACACCTGTAATCCCAGCACTTTGGGAGGCCGACGTGGGCGGATCCCGAGGTCAGGAGTTCAAGACCAGCCTGACCAACATGGTGAAACCCCGTCTCTACTAAAAATACAAAAATTAACCAGGCCTGGTGTTGTGAGCCTGTAATCCCAGTTACTCGGAAGGCTGAGGCAGGAGAATCGCTTGAACCCGGGAGGTGGAGGTTGCAGGAGCTGAGATGGCACCATTGCACTCCAGCCTGGGCAACAGAGTGAGACTCCATCTAAAAAAAAAAGAAAAAAAGGGTATCTATTTCATACGTGCAATAAACCTTTTAAAATAATTTGTGTCACTAAATTAACTTGAATGCAATGCAATTATATTTTTTCAGCCATAAAATTTTTCTTTTTTTTTTTTCCCCAGACAGCGTCTTACTCACTCTGTTGCCCAGGCTGGAGTGCAGTGGCACTCAATCTTGACTTACTGCAGCCTCCACCTCCCAGGTTCATGTGATTCTCCTGCCTCAGCCTCCTGAGTAGCTCGGACTATAGGTGCATGCCACCACACCCAGCTAATTTTTGTACTTTTAGTAGAGACAGGATTTCACCATGTTGGTCAGGCTGGTCTTGAACTCCTGACCTCAGGTGATCGACCCACCTCAGCCTCCCAAAGTGCTGGGATTACAGGCATGAGCCACCACGCCCAGCTGCCATAAAATTTTTCTAGAGATCTATTGTACAACATGATGGCTATAGTTAATAACAAGGTATTGTATTCTTGAAAATTGCAAAGAGAGTAGATTTTATGTGTTCTCACTTAGAAAAAAGCCGGTGTTTGTGAGGCAATGTATGTTCATTGGTTTAGTCATTCCACAATGTACACATATTTCAAAACAACATTTTATACAAGATAAGGCCAGGCGCAGTGGCTCAAGCCTATAATCACAGCACTTTGGGAGGCCAAGGAGGACAAATCGCTTGAGGTCAGGAATTTGAGACCAGCCAGGCCACCATGGTGAAACCTAGTCTCTACTAAAAATACAAAAATTATCCGGGCGTGATGGCACATGCCTATAATCACAGTTACTCAGGAGGCTGAGGTGGGAGAATCTCTTGAACCCGGGAGGCGGAGGTTGCAGTGAGCAGAGATCGCGCCACTGCACTCCAGCCTGGGTGACAGAGTGAGACTCTGTCTGAAACAAAACAAAACAAAACAAAACACCACATCTGTGCTCTGCTATTTACAGCTGGGTGACTTTGACAAGTGACCTGAGCCTCACTTGTCTCATCTGTGACTTACCTCATGCAGTAGCAGTGAAGATGAAATAAATGTGAAAAAAACCCTAAGACTTGGTTAATCCTTCAGTGCAAGGTTAATTAATTCTGCTATTAGTAACAGAATACCATGCAATGAAGAAAATTATATATTTATATTTTGACAAAGAAGAAAATAATAGACTATTGAGGGAGGGGAAGCCCATTATAAAACCAAATGTAACTCCATTCTTATAAAATAAAAATGTGAATATATACACATATATAGAAAGAAATCTAGATAGATATACAGAAAACTGTTAATGAGTTAACATTATAATGAATTAATTCTGGGTAATGGAATTTTGGTTTTTTATTTTCTTAATTTGAAAATCAATTTTCTTATTTACCTATCATGAAAATGTGTTACTTTTGTAACAAATTTAAAAGTCTATGGAATTTTTAAACGCTACCTATTACCCAATCATTATCCAGTATTTTCCACTTTTGTGGAGATTTAATTTACTTTGGCCGATCAGGCGATGGGAAACTATGCTTAAAATGTTACTGCACTTCTAGGGAGTCACTTTAGGACTGCTCATGTATTAGGGCTGCTCAAAACAACCAAACACATAATACCAAAGTTAAAACAGAAATCTACCCTACCTTCAGAAAATTGGGGTCCTTCTTGCTCATATAAAAGGGATCATACTCTTTTGGATCATAATGTTCTATAAATGCATTTCCCTATAGCAAGGAAATAAAATCACACACAAGAACAAGAGGTGCACAGTTAATTTTGAGTATATCAGGACTTGACAGTCAAACACACAGTATCATTCTTATGCTTGAAAGCGGCATCAGTGATAAATGCAAAAAGAAAGAGAAGGCTACATTTGAAATTTAATTTATTCAACCAATAAGGTGCAGTGAAGGAAGGAATCTACTTAAAATCTGTAAGATTTTAATAAAGAATTTTGGAACACTAAAAGATTTGGGAATTTGCTTTTAAATGCTTACTAGTCAAACATCTCAGATTTTTAAAAAATGAAGAACAGCTATATTTTAGAGCTTTGCAAATAATCAAGTTCCAGAACAAAAGAAAAATATGTCCTGAAACCAGAGTCCAAATTATTTATTTATTTATTTTGTAATTTTTTTATTATTTTTTTTTTTGAGACAGAGTCTTGCTCCATCACCCAGGCTGGAGTACAGTGGTGTGATCTCGGCTCACTGCAATCTCCACCTCGCAGGTTCAAGCGAATCTCCTGCCTCAGTCTCCCAAGTAGCTGGGATTACAGGTGCCCACCACCATGCCCGGCTAATTTTTATATTTTTAGGAGAGACAGGGTATCACCATGTTGGCCAGGCTGGTCTCTAACTCCTGACTTCAGGTGATCCACCTGCTTCGGCCTCACAAAGTGCTGGGATTACAGGTGTGAGCCACGTACCCAGCCCAAACTTTTTAACTTGATAATTCAAATTAGCAATTACACGAGGAGGCCTGGGTACAGTGGCTCACGCCCGTAATCCCAGCAGTTTGGGAGGCCGAGGTGGGTGGATTACCTGAAGTCAGGAGTTTGAGACCAGCCTGACCAACATGGAGAAACCCCATCTCTACTAAAAATACAAAATTAGCCAGTGTGGTGGCACATGCCTGTAATTCCAGCTACTTGGGAGGCTGAGGCAGGAGAATTGCTTGAAGCCGGGAGGCGGGGGTTTGCAGTGAACCGAGATTGCGCCATTGTACTCCAGCCTGGGCGACGATCAAAACTCCGTCTCAAATAATAATAATGATAATAATAATATTAATAATTACATGGGGAAAACACAGAAAAATGGTTCTAATGTACACAATTAAACCTAATCTTCTTTTTCTGTCCTTTCCAAATGTCCTGGGTTTAAGAATACTTTACGCTATTATATAACAGGGTATAGATTATACATATGTAGAGGGGACAGGGACAGACTGACTGGATGATTATAAATGAACAAAGATGACATGAGGCTTTAAATCAACTGAAAAAAGCAACAAATGATCTCTTAGTACCTTTTTATTTACATGTTTTAAAAAGCCATCTAATTCCTCTTGCCTCCTTTTTTTAATCTTCTTATGTGAGCAAACTTTTTCTATAATTTTCTTCTGAAGAGGATCTGCCACGTGGTCAACCCATCTTTTATATAACATCTCCTTTCTTCTTGCATTTAAGAAGGCATGATGTTGTAAATACTTATTTAGTTCCTAATAAACAGTGGCAGAAAAGACAAATACATTATCCTAAAGCTTTCTTGTTCTAAAATTTTCCAAAACTTAAAACTTCGTAGGTTTAAATTACTCCTAAGAATAACCCTCAAAGACATTCATTAATTCAATCATTTCTTTGGCTTTAACTTCTACTATGTGACATACACTCTGCTGCAAATAAGGAAAACACAGGTATTTGGGGCAACATGCGTGCTCTCCCTGGGGAGAAAGACTAAAGAACAAATCAAAAGCAAGGCAAGGTGGCACCTGCCTATATTTCTAGCTACCTGGGAGGCTGAAGCTAGAGAATCGCTTGAGCCCAGGACTTCAAGGCTGCAGTACACTATGACTGGGACACTGCACTCTAGCCTGGGCAACATAGTGAAAACTCATCCCTAAGAAACAAACAAATACACAAACAGTGGGAGGGGGAATATAACAAGATGTGTATTTATATATGATGCATATATATATGGCATACTATAAATAAAATAACTGAAAACAGAGGAGAGAAAAACCATTTCCTAGATTCTTAAAAGATTCCCAGTTTGGTGGGCCTCAGAAATTTAAACAGACCTACCATAAGACCCAACAATTCCCCTCCTAACCAAATGAATGAAAATTCAGGACTCAAAGAAATACTTGTATACCAGTGTTCATTCCAGCATTATTCACAATAGCCAAAAGGTGGAAATGATCCAAGTATCCATCAACAGATGAACAGATAAAATGTGGTATATACAAACCACATTTATTTACATGTGTAATATGGAAATTATTTAGCCATAAAAAGGAATGAGGTTCTGATATATGCTACAATGTGGATGAACTTTGAAAACAGTATGCCAAAGTGAAATAAGTCAGACACAAATGGACAAATAGTATAGGATTCCACATATATAAACTATCTAGAATAGCCAAAATTCCTAGAGACAGAGGGTAGATTAGAGGTTACCAAGTGCCTGGGGGAGGGAGAAATGACGAGCCACTGCTTACTGAATACAAACTTTCAGTTTGGAGTAATGAAAAAGTTTTGGAAATAGTGGTGATGGTTGCACAACATTATGAATCTAATCAATGACACTGAATGGTACACTTAAAAATGGTTAAAATGGCAAATTTTATATTGTGTATATTTACTTTTATATTGTATATGTTGAAAAAAATGATTAATTTTTTTCCAAAGTCAAGACTCCCAAAGTGGGAGACATTTGGGCTGGGCCTTTAAGAATGAGGATTTAGGCTACGTGCGATAGCTCACGCTGGTAATCCTAGCATTTCGGGAGGCCAAAGCAGGAGGATCACATGAGCCCAGGAATTCAAGACCAGCCTGGGGAAAACAGTCAGACTCTGCCTCTACAAAAAAGTTAAAACTTGGCCAGGAGTGGTGGTAATCCCACACCTGTAATCCCAGCACTTTGGGAAGCCAAGGTGGGCAGAACACTTGAAGTCAGGAGTGCGAGACCAGCCTGGCCAACATGGTGAAACCACATCTCTCTCTACTAAAAATACAAAAGTTAGCTGGGCATGCTGGCATGTGCCTGTAATCCCAGCTACTTGGGAGGCTGAGGCAGAATTGCTTGAGCCCGGGAGGTGGAGGTTGCAGTAAGCCAAGATAGCGCCATTGCACTTCAGCCTGGGCAAAGAAGTGAGACTCCATTTCAAAAAAAAAAAAAAAAAATTAAAACTTAGCTGGGCTTCATGGCTCACACCTGTAACCCCAACTACTCGGGAGGCTGAGGCAGGAGAATCACTTGAGCCCAGGAGGCCAAGGCTGCAGAGAGCTGTAATTGTGCCATTGCACTCTAGCCTGGGTGACAGAGTGAGACCCTGTCTCAAAACAAAAAAAAAAGAATACTTATCCAGGAAGAGAAGGGATGGCGAAAAAAGAGGAAGAAAAACATTCTATGAAAAAAGAAAAAAGGAAAAAAACCTTCAGTACAACTGACCTTCAGATAAAAAAAAAAAAAAAAAAAGGGCAAGAGTAAAGAGGTAGAAGTGTAGCACAACCTAATCCAAGTGGAGAGTAGCCTGCAAAGAAGGTGCTTGATTAGGCTACAAATTCATTCATTCTCACCAAACCTTCTTATCCAGCTTTCATATAGCAAATAAAGTCTTGTGACTACTAGGATGAGTGTGAACTTCAAAACGAAAAAAATAAAATATTAAGAACCCTGAGAGGTCTGCTAGGCCAAGTCCCTCCCGTTATAACCTCTGGCCATAGCACACTTCAGCCATTCCCAATGTTAGTTCCTTTTCTTTTTAAAGAACTCTAAAGAAATTTCTTAAAAATAAAAACAGGTTACCCACTCCAGTGTCCCCGGTGTTTAGTACACTTCACATGGATGTTCTTCTTGTCACATTAAGCCCATCCTGGCTCAGTGTAGCCCTGTTCTATGTATATCTGAGTAATAATTACTCAGTGTGTTCTGCTAACAGCTCTTAAGGATTAGCTCATTTGTAGTGACTGCTGAAACCCACTAGGACAAAGAAACAAGTGAGTAGAGGGAAATTCCTGTGCCTCTCTGTGAAGGAATTCCCACGAAGTATAGGAAGGGAGGAAGTCCATTAAAGCAATCTCACACATCCCTTAAGGTTAATTCCAGGTGCAAGGGAGTATTCTTTTAATTCTTTTTTCCATATTTTCTAAATAGTCTTTATATGATATGCTACATATAAAAAGGAACTACATTCAATTTTTAACTGAGATGCATTTTGTAGCCAGTTCTTACCTTAATTATATAATTTTCTCTGTATAATATTGATTGAATAGCTGCCTCAGTATCTTCTTTAGCTAAGACCTGAAAGGACAGAATTAAACTTTGAAAAGAAAATCTTTAAAAACTATTAGTGCTATCTGGAATCATTATATTTAGCATGACAGACATATCCCTGGAAAGTTCTCTATGCATGCAGTTTGCAGTTTGTCTTCTCCAAATCATAACATCCAGTGCTTTTATTTTTTTATTTATATATTTTTTTGGAGACAGAGTCTTGTTCTGTTGCTTAGGCTGCTGGAGTGCAGCAGCACCATCTCGGCTCACTGCAACCTCCAGTGGGTTCAAGCGATTCTCGTGCCTCAGTCTCCCAAGTAGCTGGGATTACAGGTGTGCAACACATGCCTGGCTAATTTTTGTTTTTTGAGTAGAGACAGGGTTTTACCATGTTGGCCAGGCTGGTCTCCAACTCCTGGCCTCAAGTGATCTGCCTGCCTCAGCCTCCCAAAGTGCTGGGAGGACAGGCCTAAGCCACCATGCCCAGCCCATCAAGTACTTTTTAAACAGTATTTCAACCTGTCTGCTCTCGGCTACAGCAAAATGTTAACTCAGCTCACAGATATTTTGAGTCCCAAAATGGTCAAATGTCTTTCCCGGAGTCACATGGTAGATAGAATCCATCTTTTTTCACATCTTATAAAATGCTTTTACTTTTCTGGGTTAAAATAGATTAAATTAGGCCTTTATTTGAGGCTTTCTGACTGTGTAAGACATACTGATCTTCTAGCGTTGATTCTTACAGAACTAGCTAAGAATATGTCAACAGTTTCACTAAAAGCTTAGTGCCACCTAAGGCAAACCCTATACATAGAAGAAATGTCACTAGTGAACAATAACACAAGGTCTTAGAAAGACTTTCTATTCAATCTCCTGCTCTTCTTTGTGTTCTTCCATAATGAATTCACCCACTAATTTTGTTTTTGAAAATTACTGAAACATAAGCCTACGGATATAATAAATCAAGGAAATGAGTTATATTTTTATTCATTAACTTATAACTGTATATAAAATGTAAAATTATAATTAAACAATTGGATCTTCTCAAAATGAAAGAAAGCTCTTATTAAAATAAAAGGAAACATATTCATTTAATTAATTTTTCCATGACCACTGACAAATTACCCAAGACTGAAACAAATTTCTTAGACAGTATTGACATAAATATAATTGTAATAAATTTATTTATCATTAGCGAATATGGCTATCAAATAAATATTAATAATAAATTTTATTTTTATGTACTTATTTTGGAGACAGAGTCTTGCTCTGTCACTTAAGCTAGAGTGCAGTGGTCTGATCATAGCTCACTGTACCCTCAAATTCCTGAGCTCAAGCAATGCTTCTGCCTCAGCCTCTCAAAGTGCTAGCATTACAAGCATGAGCCACCACCATGCCCAGCCAAATACTGTTTTTATATACAAGTCACATTTTCAGATTTTGAAATAACACAATCTTTAGGGAATAGTGATATTAGTGACAAAATTATGACAGCATTAATTGTTCCATTTTTATAACAAATTTCCACAATTATTAAATACCTGCCAGAAAATGGAAGAGGTTGATTTCTAGCACAGAATTGCCTTTGAGATCCTCTTGTTATTACAAAAAAATAAAACATTCTCAAGTTAACTGTCAGTGGAAGTAGTTGTCTTCGGTCCCACTGCTTTTATTTCCAGAACAGATGAGTAAAATCTCATCTAAGAACTGTCCTTCCCCATTAACATCCAAAGAAGCCAAGGCTCATGGGAGCTAAGCAACAACTAGAAGCATAGAAAACTCAAATGAGTCTACTCTAGTTTGTTTTCTTTGTTATTTTTGCCTCATAGAGTTGCCCTTCCTGGTAAGTCTGTACCCAGATAGGGGGTAGTGAATTAACATTCCAGATAAAAAATATATATATAAAAAACAACAAACTGAAGACACTGAAGAGTTATCAAAAAGCAGGGAGTTACTGAATGCTATTCAGCACTAGGAAAAAACAAAAACAAACAAACAAAAAAACAGCACTAGATGAATTTCCAGTTTTTTATTAACTTGCCTGAGGAAGGGCCTTAGTCTGAGCTAAAGCAGGTGGCTAAAACTCAGATAGAAACATGCGGCCTAACTGGTTCAGAAATTAGAAGACAGAGTTTGGGGTAATCATGAGAGCTGGAAGGTGAAAGGAAAAATATTGGAAAGGAAGGAGCCAAAAAAGGGATGCCACAAATTCTGCAAATGAACTCTGACCAAATATCTGGCAAACTCTTAAACTGTACATGCATAAGGCAGACTCCATGTAGCCCAGCTAAAGATAAAAAAAGACTAAACAGTGACTTCATCTGCTGCCAACTTCAGGAAAGACAAGTTTGGAGTTCGAGTTCAGCCAAGATAACTGCTTCCTAAAACAAAAACTCAATATTCTTCAGAGGCATATAACAGAATCCAGACCCTCCACAATGTATCATTCATAATGTTCAAAATGTAATCTAGAATTACTAGACACATAAACAGAGAAACGTGACCCATACTTAAGAAAAAGGCAATCAGTGGAGACCAACTCTGAAATGACCCAAATGGTGGAATTAGACAACAAGGATTTTGGAGGCAGGGCTGAGATAGCCGACTAGAAGCAGTGTGATCAGAGGTTCCCATCGAAAAGAACCATAACAGCATGTGAATCCTGTACCAGCAACCAAAGTACCCAGGTTCTGTCATCAGAACTGACTAGGTGGCTGGCATGACCCACAGAGAGGAAGGAAGAACAGTGTGGTGTGGTGGCCACCTGAGAGCCACACAGGGCAGAGGAGCCCCCATCCCCCAACCAAGGGAGGCAGTGAGTGAGCGTGCTACCCAGCCTGGGAAAACACGCTTTTTCCATGGGACTGTGCAACCCACGGATCAGCAGATCCCATTCATGAGCCCACGCCACCAGGGCCTAGGATCCCAACCGCGGAGTGGTGCAGGTTCTCAACAGCTTCTAAGCTAGAATCTGCTTAAGCTTGCTGAGTTCCTGTGGGGAGGGACGACCAGCACCACAGCTGAGGCTGCCTGCTGTCTAAGCCATTTGAGCTCCTTGTAGGAGGGGTACAGCCAACATTGGGACTGATAGCCACCTAACACACTAAGCTCCCAGGGTCAGGGAAGGGAGCCATCTTTATAGCTCCAGGCCCCACTTTTCCCCCGCTGCAGCCAGGGAGGCTAGACAGCTTGGTCCCAAGAGGTATCATCCACCAGCCCAACACACCGGCTGTGGCAGACGGCAGACAGAGTGCCTCTTCAGGCCTGACCTTGACCCATCCCTCCTCACTGGGTAGGGCCTCCCTGCAGGAACTCCAACAACTCCAGCCAGGGGCTCAGGGACAGAACGCTGATCTCCCTGGGCCTGAGCCCCTAGGGATAGGGGTGGCCGCAGCCTCCACAGACCAGCAGACTTAGTCTTTGCTCCTGCTAGTTCTGAGGAATCCAGGCAGCCCAGACAAGTGGGTTTCCCCCAGTGAGGCACACCCCCTTCACCAATGGACAGTCAAAATGCTTCATTAAACAAATCCTGCTCCCTGCGCCAGCCAACTGGGTAAGACCCTCCAACAGGGGTTGTCAGACACCCTATACAGGAGCATTCCTACTGGCATCAGGTTGGTACCCTAGAGGTTAGCGATCCCAGAAGAAGGAGAAGGCATCTATCTTTGCTGTTCTCCAGCCTCCTCAAGTGACATCTCCAGGTGCAGGAGTGAACCAGATTAATAGGGCCTGAAGTGAACCCCCAGCAAACTGCAGCATCTCCACAGAAGAGAGACCTGACCACTGCAAGAAAAACAGAAAGCAACAATAACAGCATCAACACAAAAAAAAGTTCCCAGAAAAACCCATCCAAGGGTCAGCAGCCTCAAAGGTCAATACTAGACAAATTCATGAAGATGACAAAGAATCAATCAAAAAATGCTGCAAACCCAAAAGGCCAGAGTGCCTCTTCTCCTCCAAATGATTGCAATGCCTCTCCAGCAAAGGCACAGAACTGGACGGAGGATGAAATGGACAAATTGACAGAAGTAGGCTACAGAAAGTGGGCAATAACAAACTCCACTGAGCTGAAGGAGCATGTTCTAACCCAGTGCAAAGAAGCTAAGAACCTTGGTAAAAGGTTACAGAAGCTGCTAACTAGAATAACCAGTTTAGAGAGGAACATAAATGACCTGGTGAAGCTGAAAAACACAGCAAGAGAACTTCGTGAAGCATACACAAGTTATCAATAGCCAAACAGACCAAGTGGAAGGAAGGATATCAGAGTTTGAAGACCATCTTGTTGATATAAGGCATGCAGACAAGATAAGAGAAAAAAGGAATGAAAGGGGACAAACAAAACCTCCAAGAAATATAGGACTATGTAAAAAGACCAAACCTAGGATTGATTGGAGTACCTGAAACAGGCGGGGAGAATGGAACCAAGTTGGAAAACACACTTCAGGATATTATCCAGGAGAACTTCCCCAACCTAGTAAGACAGGCCAACATTCAAATTCAGGAAATACAGAGAACACCACTAAGATACTCCATGAGAAGATCAACCCCAAGACACATAATTATCAGATTCTCCAAGGTTCAAATGTAGGAAAAAATGTTAAGGGCAGCCAGAGAGAAAGGCCAGGTCACCTACAAAGGGAAGCCCATTAGATTAACAGCGGACCTCTCAGCAAAAACCCTACAATCCAGGAAAGAGTGGGGGCCAATATTCAACGTTCTTAAAGGAAAGAATTTTCAACCCAGAAATTCATATCTAGCCAAACTAAGCTTCATAAGTGAAAGAGAAATAAAATCCTTTCCAGACAACCAAATGCTGAGTGATTTCATCACCACCAGGCGTGCCTTGCAAGAGCTCCTGAAGGAAGCACTAAATATGGAAAGGAAAAAACCACTAGCAACCACTGCAAAAACACACCAAAATATAAAGACCATGACACTATGAAGAAACTGCATCAACTAATGTGCAAAATAACCAGATAGCATCAGGATGACAGGATCAAATTCACATATAATATTAACCTTAAATG